GCAATTCTATGCCAACATATTGGGCAATCTGGAAGAAATGGATAAATTCCTGGACTGCAGGACTGATGTAATATCCAGAAATCAATCAACCCGATACACCACATTAATAAAAGAAAGAACAAAGGGACACCTGAGTGGCTCAGTTGGTTAAGTGTCCGACTTCGGCTCAGGTCATGATCACACAGTTCGTGGGTTCAAGCCTTGTGTCAGGTTCTGTGCTGACAGTTTGGAGACTGGAACCTGCTTCAGATTCTGTGTCTCCCTCTCTCTCTCTTTGCCTCTCCCCAGCTTATGCGCGCACTTTCTCTTTCTCTCTCAAAAATAAATAAATGAACATTTAAAAAATAGATAATAAAAGAAAGGATAAGAGTCACATGATCCTCTCAATAGACGCAGAAAAAGCATTTAACAAAATATAGCATCCTTTCTTGATAAAAACCCTCAAGAAAGTAGGGATAGAAGGAACATACCTCAACATCACAAAGGGCATATACAAAAGATCCACAGCTAATATCACCCTCAATGGGGAAAAACTGAGAGCTTTCCCCCTAAGCTTGTCAATGAGACAAGGATGTCCACTCTCACCACTGTTGTTCAGCATAGTACTGGAAGTCCTAGCTTCAGCAATCAGATAGCAACAACAAAAAATAAAAGGCACACTAACTGCAAGGAAATGACAGTCAAGTATTCACTTTTCACAGATGATACTCTACATGGAAAACCTGAAAGACTCCACCAAACATGCTAGAACTAATACATGAATTCAGCAAAGTATCAAGATATAAAATCAACTTACAGAAATCTGTCACATTTCTAGACACCAATAATGAAGCACCAGAAAGAGAAATCAAGGAACTGATCTCATTTACAATTGCACCAAAACCCGTAAGATACCTTGGAATAAACCTAACCAAAGAGGTGAAAGATCTGTACGCTGAAGCTATAGAATGCGTATGAAAGAAATTGAAGAAGACACAAAGAAATGGGAAACTCATTCCATGCTTATGGATTAGAAGAACAAAAATGTCTGTATTACCTAAAGCATTCTACACATTCAATGCAATCCATATCCAAATAACACCAGCATTCTTCACAGAGCTAGAACAAAGAATTCTAAAATTTGTATGGAACCAGAAAAGACCTCAAATAGCCAAAGTAATCCTGAAAAAGAAAACCAAGGTTGGAGGCATCACAATTCTAGACTTCAAGCTGTATTACAAAGCTGTAATCATCAAGACAGTATGGTACTGGCACAAAAACAGATTCTTAGATCAATGGAACAGAATAGAGAACCCAGAAATGGACCCACAGATGTATGGCCAACTAACCTTTGATAAAGCAGGAAAGAGTATCCAATGGAAAAAAGATAATCTCTTCAGCAAATGAGAAAACTGGAGAGTTACATACAGATGAAAACTAGACCACTTTCTTATACCATACGCGAAGATAAATTCAAATAAATGAAAGACCTAAATGTAAGACAGGAATCCATCAAAGTCCTAGAGGAGAAAACAGGTAGCTACTTCTTTGACTTCAGCTGCAGCAATTTCTTACTAGACACATTTCCAGAGGCAAGGGAAACAAAACCAAAAATGAACTATTAGGACCTCATCAAGATAAAAATGTTCTATAGCAAAGGAAACAATCAATGAAACTAAAAGGAAGCTTGTGAAATGAGAGAACATATTTGCAAATGATGTATCAGATAAAGGGTTAGTATCCAAAATCTATAAAGAACTTATCAAATTCAACACCTAAAAAAACCCCAAATAATCCAGGAAAGAAATGGGCAAAAGACATAAATAGACTCTTCTCCAGAGAAGACATCCAGATGGCCAACTGACACATGAAAAGATGCTTAACATCACTCATCATCAGGGAAATACAGATCAAAACCACAATGACACCTCACACCTGTCAGAATGGCTAACATTAACAATTTAGGCAACAACAGACGTTGGCGAGAAGAAGCCTTTTGCACTTTTGCTGGTGGGAATACAATCTGGTACAGCCACTCTGGAAAACAGTGCAGAGTTTCCTCAAAAAATTAAAAATAGAACTACCCTACTACCTAGCAATTATACTACGTATCTATCCAAAGAATACAAAAATACTGATTTGAACGGGCACATGCAACCCAATGTTTGTAGAAGCACTATCAACAATAGCCAAATTACTGAAAGAGTCCAAGTACCCATTGACTCATGAACTGATTAAGAAGATGTGGGGTGATATGTACAATTACTCTGCAATAAAAAAAAATGAAATCTTGCTATTTGCAACAATGTGGATGGATCTAGTGTGTATTATGCCAAGAAAAATAGGTCAGTTAGATAAAGACACATATCATACAATTTCATTCATTTGTGGAATTTAAGCAACACAACAGATGTACATAAGAGAAGGAAAGGTAAAATAAGATAAAACCAGAGAGGGTGGCAAAGCATAAGAAACTTTTTTTAAGTTATTTATTTTGAGAGAGCATGAAAGAGCATGAGTTGAGGAGGGGCAGAGAGAGAGAGAGAGGAAGAAAGAGAATCCCAAGCAGGCTGTGTGCTGTCAGCACGGGCGTGACGCAGGGCTCAATCCCACAAACCGCGAGTTCACATCCTGAGCTGAAACCAAGAGTCAGACACTTAACTGACTGAGCTGCCCAGGCGTCCCAACCATAAGAAACTCTTAAATACAAAGAACAAACTGAGGGTTGCTGGAGGGGAGGTAGAAGGGGGATGGGTACTAACGAGGGCACCTGTTGGGATGAGCACTGGGTGTTGTATGTAAGTGATGAATCACTAAATGCTACTCCTGAAACCAATACTACACTATACGTTAAGTTGAATTTAAATTTTAAAAACCCTCTGAATTATAGCACCAGGCATAAGTTGCTGAAATGCCTCATTTCACCCACGCAAGCAAAAAGCAGTAGGGGAAGGGTTGCCTGGGTGGTCAGGCAGATTGAAAATCTGACTCTTGATTTCAGGTCAGATTATGATCCCAGGGTTGTGGGACTGTGCCCTACATCAGGCTCCGTGCTGAGTGTGGAGCCTACTTTGGACTCTTTCCATCTCTCTCTCTCTCTCTCTCTGTCTCTCTCTGTCTCTCTCTCTCTCCCTTTGCCCCTCTTCCCATCTTGAGTCCTGTCTCTCTTAAAGAAAAAAAAAAGCAGTATGGGTAGTAATTCTAGATCTACAAAGTAACACAAACAACTAACATTAAAATAGCCATCGTCTCCTGACATATCTGCAACAATAATTTTGATTGTTTGCATTATATTTTAGTTCATGTGACTGTTTACAAAATAACTCTCTACAGCTGTGTTTTTTCCATAATTACAGCTGTCATTGTCTCCAGCTAGTTTCCTTTGTTCATATAGAAAGCATATTGCACTTTTACCATTGTTTCCTTCCCCTTTGGGTTACTCACTTCTCTCGCCCTCTGGTTCACTTGTCTGCCTGATTTCCTTTCTCACTTCACTTCCCCCTTCCTCCACATTTTTGCCATTGTATAAATACTGAAGACTATGAACAAATGTGTCACTGTTTGCTAAGTGACTGCATATTTGGAAGAAAACCAAAAGAATATATTAGTTTTTTTAAAATAAGCTACTTCTAAGTACTTTTTATACAGCTATATCATCTTAAAATTGATATTGAATAAGCACTAAGATGGTACTTTTAACTACTACCATTGATAATAAATAATACAACATAATAATATAAATATTCAGAAGAGCCTTCCAGGGAAGGGCAAATAGCTGACCACAAACTGAAATGTGCTGCAGAAAAATAACCTGAAGCACTGATCAGCCCACCTTGTGACTCAGATTTAACCTGGTCAGCTGCCTCTATCCAGCAAATTCTAACACAGACCTTAAGAATTATAAATGAAATATCAAGTCAGGAAAATTTTTAAAACTTCAAAATCAAAAATTAGAGGACATCAAAACATTAAGACACATATATTTTTTTCTTAACAGAACTGATTCACTAATGATAACTACATCAAAACCACCAAAATAATCCACTGTAAAGTAAAGCTGTAGCAGTCAAGTACTAAAACTTCCCCATGGATCTCCGACTTTGTTTTAAAAAGCAGAACAAGCTGTGATTAACTGTGTCCTACAGCAAAAGAGTAAGTAAACTTTTCAGGCCATAGGATCTCTGAAAAGTCATAGGAGATATTGTTTAAATGCTGCTTGAATACCAATTTTGTGTCCTAGAATTATAGAGATCATCGAATCCACTGTCCTTCAAAATGTGGTGCATTGATGCCAGAGTCACTTAGGCAGCTTGTTAAAAATTCATATTTTTGACTCAAGGTCTCAACCCAGACCGACTGAATCAGACTCTCAGGGGATGGAGCTTAGGAATCTTCACAGTCAACAAGTATCTCAAGTGATTGCTACTCACATAAAAGACTAAGAACTGCTAATATAGGTGAATCTTCTCAAATTGCCAATAGACAGAGGTCACATGAGGAAAACCCTCTAAAATCACTCGCCAAACACCCAGCTGGTTCGGGACAAGGGGAAGGCTAACATGCTATTCCTGGACCCTCGGGCCAGTGTTCTTTCTGCTCCACCATGGCGCCCATCAGTCTTACCAGAATTCAGAGAACACAGGAAATTTAGAGAAATACAACAGAAATCCAAGCTACAGTTATAAAGTTTCTGGGTTTAACAGAGTCCTTCCTATGTAACACACTTCCAGCTTTAGACCTGCTCTCTCCATACAGAAGAAAACATAAATGGTGTGCTCAGAGAGGAAACCAGGCATATTAGGATATTACGGATATTAGGCATCGCTACATCGTTTCATTTGAGGATTCATCCTACCACAGTGAATCTTAATTTTTGAGGCCTCAAGTGAGTAACAGCATAGTACATGTGCCAAACTTCAAGTGAAGGATTTCAGCAGTTCAGAAGGCTTGGGGGGCGGGGGGAAGGGGAGGAAGAAACATTCAAACTAAAATATAATTTATAGTTTAAGAAAAATGCTCACAGATGCATCCAGAAGTGTCTGTTCCCTCATTGCCTCCTCTTGTCTTTGAGATTTCAGCTCTTGTTGGAGCCTTTCATTTTCAAGCACAACTACTTGTACCCTATTTTTCATTCCAGAGAGTTCCTCCTGTAAAAAGCAGAAACAAATATCAAATGCATTAAGCATTTTTAAGCACTGTTAATTGCTGTTTACTAGATGATCCAACATGACATAAAGCATGGAAAACTTTTGCTCTCTATCCATTTTCTGAATTATCATAATTATATTTAGAGAAATAAAGCAACTCAAACATTAGCAAACAAACAAACAAGCCTGGGGAATACAGTAGTGGGTCTCCTAATGACCATATCACAGAAATGTGTGATTTCTGACAATTTTTTTGTAGGCTTACAGAAAGGCTTTAATTAAAGGGGTTATCTAAAAGACTTTTAAGAATAAGGTAGACTACTGAAAAATAAGATAAGATATATTATTTATCATGCTCAAATGCCGATAACTTGTTGAACCTGACGAGAGGATTAACTAGATAATGGGACACTGAGATAGAAAGGCATAGAAAGTTATCCATGTACTGGTAGCCAGATGGAGGGAAAGCATGAATAACATAGTTTGGCAGAGAGTTCTTTAAGAGTGTTTCTCTCGCCTGGTGAGAAATAATACAAATGATTACAGATAACTGACAATTAGAAGAGCGATTGAGTGGTGTCTCACCCTCTGGAAAAAATATAAAAAAAAATTAATACACTGAAGGAATAATATTTATCTTAATCTTCATTACCAGTATAATAAAAAACTATTAAGCAATATATGCAAATTCTATTTCAGTTATTGTATTCAGAAAAAAACCCCAAAACCAAATCTGAAATTGAAAGCTATAATTGAAAAACATTGCAGACTTCCAATTTCTGGTCTGGCACATAATGAGCTTGGAAGAAATCATTCTCATCTTTGCAACAAGAAAAAAGCTGAACAAACCAAGAAATCAACCACTCTTCTTAAATGCATCAGAGAATGGAGGTCACTTCCATCCACAAAATCTGAGGTCCTGAGAATCACGACCCACCTGAGCAGAAACTTCCAGGGGAACCAGAGCCGGGAGAGGGAAATGTCAAGTGCAATTGGTGAAATGCTGGAAGCTCAGGGTGGACAAGTTTGAGAGTTAAAAATGCCAGAAGGACCCAAGCTAAAGTGGATTCTTGCAGTTTTCTGAGTTTTATCTTTAGGACACTACCAGGTTCTTACAGCAAAGGCTAGAGACAAATCCCCTCAAGCTTCCTCTGGTAGAGAGGAAAAATAGCCATTTTAAAAAATGCTCAAAGCATTCTGTTCTTAGAAAGGCCTGCCTCAAGAGAAGCTATTTCACTGGAACCTAAGCAGGTGGGATTTTTCAGACCCTAACTGACCTGAGGGAAGGGAAATAACCAACTCAAGATGCCTCTAGCCTTCCAACCTCACATAAGATGAGAGGGTGGGGGTTGGGGGCACCTGGAGGGCTCAGTTGGTTAAGCATCCACCTCTCGATTTCAGCTCAGGTCATGACCTCATGGTTCATGACTTGAAGGCCCACATCAGGCTCCATGCTGACAATGCAGAGCCTGCTTGGGATTCTCTCTCCCACTCCTTCTCTGCCCCTCCCCCATGTACGCTCTCACTCTCCTTCAAAATATGTAACTTAAAAAAAAAAAAAAAGATGAGAGGATGACTGAGAAGCACTTGTGAAGGTCAAAGCTAAGGGACACAGACTCACTAAAAGATGGAGACGTAACCACAGGACTATAAAATGCCTCCCCTGCTCCCACAGCTAACCACCACATCAAAAGGGTGTCCATAAAATAACAAAGGAATACAGTGAAATAACTACACATCTCAGACTCGTATTTAAGAAGAATTCTCAAGGGAAGTCCAAAGATAACAGGGGAGACATAAACCAGAAGACTAGAGGAAATTTTAGCTTCTGACACCTGTAATAACACAAAATAGTAAACACAGCCTAACTCCTAACAAGATAAACATAATGTCTCACCCTATAAGCCTATTCCCTCAGTTCCTTTTACTATATCATGTCCAGTATTCACAAAAAATTAAAAACCACATGAAAAGACAGTACAGTTTCAGGAGCCTAAGCAAGCTCAGAACCAGACTTGAATATGGCAGTGATCTTGGAATTAGTAGATTGGGAGTTTAAAACAATTATGATTGATATGTTAAATGTTAAAGGATCTAATGGGAAAAGTGGACCACACGCAGGAACAGATGGGCAATATACGCAGAGATGGAAACTCTAAGAAAGAATCAAAGTGCTGGAAATCAAAAACACTGCAGTAAAAATGACAAATGCCTTTGATGGGCTCATTAATAGATTGGTCACAACCAAGAAAAGAATTGGTGAGCTTAAAGAAACGCCAATAGAAACTTCCCAAAAAAAAAAATGCAAAGAGAACAAAGAATGAAAAAGACAGAGAGAAGATCCAAGAAATGCAGGACAATTACCAAAGGTGACAAAAGAAAGGAGAAATATTTGAAGGAATAATGATGAAACATCTTCTAAAATGATAGTACCAAACCACAGATCCAGGAAGCTCAGAGAACATCAAGCAGGGTAAAATCAACAACAACAACAACAAAAATCTATACCTACGCATATTACATTCAAAGTGCACGAAATCTATACCAATAGAGAAAGGTATAGGGGAGCTCAGAGAACATCAAGCTGGATAAAATAACAAAAAATCTATACCTACGCATGTCATATTCAAAGTGCAGAAAATCAAAGACAAACAGAAAATCTTTAAGGAGATAAGAATTTAAAAACAAAACAAAACAAAACACCTTAACCTGTATATTGGACTACTCTTCAGAAACAAGAAGACAATGGAAAGAAATATTTAAAGTATTAAAAAAAAAAAAACACCAGCCTAGAATTGTATATTCAGGCAAATTAAATTAACCTTCAAAAGTGCGGGGGAAAATAGAAACTTTCTCAGATAAATAAAAATTGAGGAAATTTATCTCCAGTAGACCTGCCTTGCAAGAAATGTTATAAAAAAAGGAATGAGCATTTGAAAAGGATTATATGGTGATAAAATATTTTATTTTTCTTAATCTGAACTGATCTAACATATCAGTTTGTTCAAATCACAGTAGCAGCACTATATATAGTGATTATAGCTTATGAATAATTGAAATGAATGCCAGCAATGTTGAAGAGCACAGGAGGGAGGGATTGGAAACCCTTTCTTACAAAGACCTTGCCCTACCCATGTAGTGGTATAGAGCTATTTAACAGTAGACTTTGATTACTGATCAGTGTGATTGCAAACTCAAGGGCAGCTACTTACAAAAGTAAAAATAGTTCACCTGGTATGCTAAGAGAGGAGAAAAACTGCAATCACATAACATGCTCACTTAAAACCTGAGAAGGCAGGAAGAGTAGAAGAGAAAGAAAGAAAGAAAGAAAGAAAGAAAGAAAGAAAGAAAGAAAGAAAGAAAGAAAGAAAGAAAGAGGAAAACGAAAGAACAAGGGCAATGAGTAGAAAACAGTAATAGTTATGGTAGATATTATCCAACTATATCAATAATAATTTTAAATGTCCACGGTCTGAGTACACCAATAAAAATACAGAGATATAAGAGTGAATGACAAATAGGACACAAGTATATGCTGTCTATAAGAAGCCAACTTTAAATATAAAGACACAGATAGATTAAAGGTAAATGGATAGAGAAAGGTATACCATGCAAACACAAATCAAAAGAAAGCTGGAGTAGCTACACTAATTTCACACAAAGCAGACTTCATACTAAAGGAAAATGTAAGGAATAAAAAGGAGCAGAAAAACACAGTAATAAAGGGTCAATTCTCCCAGCAGACATAATAATCCTTAATGTGTATGTGCCTAACAATAGAGCATCAAAATACACAATACAAAAACTGAGAGAATTGAACAGAGAAACAGAGGAATCCACTATTTCAGCTGGAGATTTCTGTAACTTATCAGTAACTGACAAGTCCCGCAGATTTTTCAGATTGGCAAAACATCGGTAAGAATACAGTTGAACTGAACAGCACCATCAATCAACCAGATCTAATCTGGCATTTACAGAATATTTTATTCAACAACACAATACACATTCTTCTCAAACTAACACAGAATATTCACCGAGACATACCAATCACATTCTGGGTGTAAAAATACACCTTAACAGATTTAAAAGAATAGAAATCATAAACAGTAAGTTCTCAGATGGCAGGGGAATTAAACTAGAAATCAATAACAGAAAGAGAGAGCTGGAGCACTCCCAATATACTTCATGATTAAACAGCACTTTTTCAAAATGTTTATCCATGTTTTGAGAGAGAGAGAGAGAGAATGTGAATTGGGGAGGGGCAGTGAGAGAGCATCTGAGAGGCACAGAATCCAAAGCAGGCTGCAGGCTCTGACATGTCAGCACAGAGCTCAATGTGGGGCTTGAACTCACAAACCATGAGATCATGACGCTTAACCAACTGAGCCATCCAGGCATCCCTAAACAACACTTCTAAATAACATACAGGTCAAGGACAAAGTCTCAAGAATAATTTTTAAATGGAAATACAACTAATAAAGATTTGGGAGATGCAACAAAACCAGCAAAAAACATTAGAAAAGAAGAAAGATTTCAAATCAATAATCTAAGCTTATCTTAGGAAACTTTCAGAAAAAGGGGGAGCAAATTAAATCCAAAGAAGATAAATAAAAATTAGAGTAGAGATCAAAGAAATTAAAAATAGGAAATAAGGGGCGCCTGGGTGGCTTAGTCGGTTAAGCGCCGACTTTCGCTTAGGTCATGATCTCGCGGTTCGTGGGTTCGAGCCCCGTGTCGGGCTCTGTGCTGACAGCTAGCTCAGAGCCTGGAGCCTGTTTCAGATTCTGTATCTCCCTCTCTCTCTGACCCTCCCCTGCTCACGCTGTGTCTGTCTCTCTCTCTCCTAGAAATAAATAAAAAAAAAAAAATAGGAAATAAGTTGCTGGTCTTTGAAATGATCAACAAACTTGATAGAACTCTAGACTCTAGCCTGGCTAAGAAAAAAAGAAGACGCAAATTACTAATATCCAAAATGAAAGAAGGATCATCACGACAGGTTC